TATTCTTAGATATTCACAATTTAGCCTTATAATTTTTATATAATTCTGTCTACAATGATTATAAATTCAACAAAAGAACTATAACCACATTGTGCTGTATAACTTCAGCTGTCAACTTGAAACACCTGGGTAGAGGGAGACTCAGTTGAGGAATTTTACCATTGGATTGGCCTGTGGGCCATTTGTGGGCCATTTTCTTGATTTTTGAGTGATATGGGAGGGCCCAACCCACCTTGGGTAGTGCCACCCCTATGCAGATGGTCCTTGGTTGTGTAAGGAAGCAGGCTGAGCACAGGCTAGGGGAGCAAGCATGTGAGCAGTGTTCCTTCATGGTCTCTGGTTCAGCTCCTGACTCCTGGTTCTTTCCTTGAGTTTCTGCCTTGGCTTCACTTGATGATGGACTATGAGCTGTAAGAGAAATAAATCCTTTCCTCTCCAAGTTGATTTGGTCAGTGTTTTCATCAGCAATAAAAAGTAACTAAGACATGCCATCAATGAAGTTCAGATTAAAAAGTTTAATTATCTATCAAACCTCTGTTCATCTCATCATGCCTTGTGTCTAATGACAGCAATTTCCCCCACTATTCAGACACTATGAAACTCACACTCAGGAATGCATGGTTAACTATATAGAATGCTGAACCACATCTGAAATCAACTCCTTTCCTTTTTCTTTGTTATTTACCATAATTAGGCTTGTACTACCCAGGACAAACGTGTTTGTAGAACAAATATGCAACTGCAGTAGTAATATTTGTTCTTAGAATGATGCGGTCAGTCATAAAAACTTTCTCTGTGAAGACTTACTGTTTTCAAACACAAATTTAAAAATTCTCAATAAATTTTTAAAGTCTCAGTCTCTAGACCTTTGCAGCAACTGAGTTTGAGAAACAACAAGAGGAGAATGGTTTAGTCATGTAGTGCTCACATAATAAACTGAAGACTCTTGTTTCTGCTGTTTCTAATACTTTAATGTCTTTTTTTATTCTTTTCTGCTTTCATGGTGGTTAGCGTCAGAGATGGTTAGTATATAATTTTTATAATTTAAGGAACTAATAAACTTTTTTGCAGCTAAAATTTTAATATTTGCATGCTTTGCTTCCTAATTATTCAAAAATGGTTTCATGTGGATGTGTGTGATCAGCTCATTGTGTTTAAAGAGGTTTCATAACTTGGATTTTCACGTTGCTTTTCTTGCGATGGTCACTATTGCATTATTAAATTTTACTGCTTATTTTTGTTAGTTCAAGATTTACTTGTAAGGCCACTTAAAGTATAGTGTAAAATACTATTTTTCTCACTTAAATCCTATGATGAATTTGTTATTCATCTTGCTATCTTAATATAATATGTATATATAGCTGCTATATCTTTTTATATCATGTAAATGCCTAGTGTAGTCCTAATAGGCCATTAACACTATGTATATAATGATCATTATCATTATAATTATATATATATCATTAAGTTTGAAAGCATAGAAAATCACATGCATGTTAGAATTAAAGCAGAAATGTTAAGCAATAAATCATTATAAATAGTTGGGAGATTAGATATTTATTTGAAATGAATAATGTAGTTATTTGATCTGAAATAATTTAAACTACAAGGAACGTGCTCTGAAACACAAAACAATATGGTAACTTTGATAGCCCAGAGCTGTAATAACGAAATACAGGACTTGCAATATAACTTAGTTGATGAAGTGCTGTCTATGCAAGCATGAGAACCCGAGTTCAATTTCCAGGATTCACATAAAAATGGCCAGTGTGGCAGCACCTGCTTGTAATCCTACTACTAGTGAGGCAGAGACAGTCTGGTACAGGATCCCTGGGTCTCACTTGCCAGGCAGTCTAGCCAGATTGCTGAGCTCCCTGCCAGCCAATGAAAATCAATGTCTCAGAGGAGGTAGATGGCATTTCTGAGGAATGACACCCAAGGATGATTGCTGGCCTCCATATGCATGTGCCTGCATGTATAGGCACACCCACACATACTTGTGCACTGCACACACATTAATATGCACATACATGCATGAACACGTGCATATACATATGAATAAAAATACATTTAAAAATTCTATCAAAACAATGGCAAGTCAGTTAAAGATGAAGGACATATGCATAAATGGTGTTAAATCAGCTGGTTAACAGTTTGGTAGACTATGCACAACTGAAAAATAAACAGCATCTAACTAATTTCCAAAAGATTAGGCAATTTAAAATTATTGAACATATTTAATATTCATCAAACATTTAAACTGAAGAGAAAACTTTAAATGGAAAAAAATAACACGTTTTAAAAAGTCGTTTATTAAGAATTTCATACAGGGATGTAAGCATATAAGGTGTTTTGATCAAATCCATGCCTACTACATCCCCTCCAACTCAACTCCTCCTCCACTTTTTTCTGATAATTTCATGTACTCTTTCTTCCTTTTTTAAAATTAGGCTTTTGCTACTCTACAACTCCCCCCCTCTGAAGAGGCAGTCCTAAAATCTTCAAAGGATTAGATAAGAGCTCCCAAATGATTTTGATATTGTTGACCTTTGGAATGGAGTATGTTGCTAAGAGGCCCAAGGACATTTTGACTTTTAGCTAAGGAGCTGGCTACTTTTCTTTGAGGTCTTTTTACACTAACTGCCTAGCCAATTCCTATCTCCTACTCTTATCACACCTTCCTCTGAAGAGGTTACCCAGCTTGCGGATAGAGAATCAGGACACAGACTGTTCTGGCTTCTTCCATGTTGAGCAGGAATGCAGGTTGAGGAAATTGGGGTACCCCTTCAATGGGTCTATCTAAACAACTCCAAATTGCATAATTCTTATCTGTAGGGGGAAAAGAAAGTCATTGACTGATGAATAGGAGACGTGAAGGAGAAGTAAAGGAAAGAATAATTAGCATTACAAATTCTAGCCAGGGAACTAGAAAAAAAGTCAGAACAGGGCAAATTTCAAATGTTTAAGAGTCCATTGGAGTTTCTTGAAAAGAGCCTCCAAAGGCATCCCTCTATTGGGTTTCTCCTCATTTTTCTCTTTTCTGCCAAGGCTGGACTCAAGAGTGATGGATTCAGGCTTTGTTTTCAGGGATTTTGATAGTTGTGGACTGGTTAGAATCAGTATCTGTTCCCTCTTAAAGGCTTGTAGATAGGGGAGAAAAAAATTTGGCCATCATTTTAGAAAAATAGCAGGTTGTCTCCCTTAGCTACAGGTGGGCACTGCAGTGGTGGCGACCAAGATTTGAAGTCTTACATCTGAGCAGCACTTTCTGGTTAGGAACAAAATCATCAATGAGAAATAATTGTCTAAATAACTATTTATATAGACTTAAGCCTAATATCTGGGAAATGTAATCCCTTAAATTCTTAAAGAAGTATACTGATGACTACTCTTTGGTTATACTTTCCTTTTGGGTGTTTAAGACCATACAGTTGGCCCAAATAAATAAATTAATTTATTTTTACACTTAAGGTCATTTGTGGATCTGTTCCTCAGGGGTCACATGGGTTTGGGAGGATCCATTGGCTCCTTTTTTTTTTTTTTTTATCAATTACATCTATGTGAAGATAAGTCAAAGGTCCTGTTCCACGATGGCTGGCTTCACTTAGAAGCATGGAGGAAATGTCTCATCTGAGTTGACCCTCCTCCTGCAGACTGGACACTGGTACAAGTCCATCTGGTGGGGTCTCCATGGCCTCCCTGAACAAGAGAACAGGTGACTCACCACAGTTACAGGATATTTTGAGAGATGCACCAGAGTCCCCTGGAATTTAGTCAACCTTGGAGGGCAAGGGGCTAAACCTGTCCTTTCAGTCCCTCTGAACTGATTAGTATAGGCCTCAAAATATG